AATATTTTTAAGTTTGGTTTTCAGTAGTTGACTAAGATGAGCCTGGGTGTGGTTTTCTTTGTATTGATTCTTCTACAGGGTCACTGAACTGCTTGCATCTGTAAATTAATGGCTTTCACCAAACTTGAGAATATTTGGCTCTTATTTCTTCACATACTTTTCTGTCTCCTTTCTTTGCTGTCCCCTTGGGACTCTTATATTTATTTAGTTTTAGAAATTTTATTGGGGAACAGTGTTTTTCCAGGACCCATCGGCTCCAAGTAAAGCAGCCATTTTCAATCTAGTTGTGGAGGGTGCAGCTCCCCAGCCCATGCAAGAATCAAATCAGCAACCCCGGTGCCATGAGCCTGCGCTCTAACCATTTGAGCTGACCGGCTGCCCCTTGGGACTCTAATTTTAGACATGTTAAACCTCTTTTTACTTCAGCTCAGGTCACTGCAGGGAGGAGCCAGGAAGAGGTGGGCTGCTGCTTCTAGGAGGAGAGGCCCTGGGTAGCCTCATCCCCCCATCTGCCAGCCCAGGTAAACTAGTGAGAGGTGCCCAAAGGGACCCCTCCAATCAGAATGTAACTCTTGGGACCTTCTGCCCTGGAAACCATCTTCTGCCGCTGTCACCCTCTGCCACTACCCTTGGAAGGGGACCAGGAATTTGCTCTGGTCACCATGGTCCAATGCGGCTGGACCTCATTCAAGGCCCAGTGTAGGCCAAAGAGTCCTGAGGATACCACCTGTGCCCTTCATCTTCTGGTTCACGAGTGCCCAGTGCCCAGGGCAGGAAGCATTCATTTGCCAAGATCAAACAGGGATAAATGAGAACTACATGCTGCACTTTAAAAATAAAACAAGACAGAACAAAAAACCAAACCAACCATTATTTAAGCATAATTCTAAGAGTATGTACTTTCTTACTTTTTGGGTTGGAAAAATGACCTTTCCTTTACGAACTGATAATAATAGACGGTAGTGGACTTAAGAAAAACTTTTTGATAAAATAAAGATTCAGAGGGCCGGCCGAGTGGCTCAGTTGGTTAAGAGCTTGCTCAAGAATGTGAGCTATGAGGAACTAGTGGTTCGATTCCTGGCCCGAGCTGAGCTGCCACTGAGCTGCCAACAGGTGGCAGGATGGCTCAGCTAAAAAAAATAAAATAAAATAAAAAAAGATTCAGAAACCCAATGTTGTTTGCAAAACTTTGAGGAAACTATTCCTATGAAATCCAGATGTCTGGACACCCTGATCTAATTTATGCCACTAATTTGGGCCATTAGGACAAAGAGGGAAAATGACTGTCTTGCACCCACTCCTCTCTGCCGGACCATGTAAGTTTTGACCCAGCTCTTTCCTTCAGGAAACCTTCAGGAAACCTGCAGGGGCGTGGGATGACAGGACACCCCACATCCACAGAGTTGGATGGAGGCCATGAGCAGGCAGAGGGAGGGGCTCCTTATGCGACCTGGGGTCCTCATAGGACCTTGCACACAGGAAGCAGCTGGAGGAGCCCAGGGTGGGTTATGGAGGACAGGTAGGATGAGAGCGCAGCCAGGGTGCCTGAAGGCCTCAGTCATTTTCACCTGTGTACAGGGCTGAGCAACTGCCTTTAATAGTTGTGAAGTGATGGGAGATGAAGCTGGGTCCAGGGCAGTGGCACCACTTGACTCTGGTAACCAGGAAGGCAGGGAGGAGGGGAGGGAAGGTAGCAAGGGAGGGAGGAAGGAAGGAAGACAGACTGAGGAGCAAGTGATGAGGCAGGTTGGGGGAAGGGCAGTGGGAGGGAACTGGCAGCACTCTTTCCTCTTCCTCCACTGGCTGGACTGAGAGGACTTGGAGTAGTCCCTAAAATTCAAGTGCTGCCACTCTTACTACAATTATTTGGATAAAATTGAATTACAGTGTTTTTTTTGTGTGTGTGTTTGTTTTTTAAAGATTTTTATTGGGGAATTGGGGGGATGGTAACCGCAGTGGGGAATTGGGGGAAGGGGAACAGACAAGTTGCTGTCGTTTAGTTCTTCAGTCTAGTTGTGGAGGACATTGCTTCACTGGCCCAAGATGGCACTGGCCCTCATATGTGGGATCCGAACCGGGGCCCTCTGGCGTCTCAAGCCAGTTCTTAACCATCGCGCCACTCGGCCGGCCCGGTTTTTTTTTGTTTTTGCTTTTGTTAACCTTTGAAATTTTTATCCAAAGCAAACGTAATACTCATTTTGGTGGCCAGACTTAGGACTGTCTGTGGGAAAACATCCCTGTTCCCCCCCACCATCCCGCTAACAGCCCTCCCCTCTGAGTGGGTGGGCAGCACTCCACTTGGTCCACACCCACAGAGCTAGTGAGAGGACCTGAGGGTGTCCCAGTCTGGAAATAGGATGTATCCATGTTATCCAGCAACTGCACTTTTCCACTTTATTAATATTCCTTCAGTAGACCCATAGACTCATTGAAAGGTGTATAAAAATTCAGAGTATATATTATTATTTATCCATCCCCCCTCACAGAGCTCCCAAGTTTCTGCAACTACAAACACTTCTGCAGTTAACAGCCTTGTCTCTGTCCATAGGTCTTTGTGTTTTCTATTAACATTTTAATATTGCTACAGTAACCTTTAAAAGGTCGGGGAGTTCACATTCCCACCAGCAAAGCATGAGGAGCTGTTCCCAGCATCTTGAGAGGGCTGTCTGTGCTGCTTTTGACAAGGTGTCAGGTTTTAATTTATATTAAAACAGTTTGACTGTTAGTGCGATTGAGCAGCATTTCATACATTGCAGGCCATTTGCATCATTTCTCATATTCTCCTGTAAATTGCCTGTATATATATCCTGTGTCAATTTTTCTTTTGGGCTATCTTTTTTCAATGTGTGCATTTCCTTTCTATCTTTAAGTATATTAGTCCTTTATCATATGATAGCACATATTTTCTCCCATTTGTCTTTTAACTTAATCAATGACTTCTACCCTGCTTTTTACTTTCATACTTTTTATACTTACACATCATTTTTAAAAATGTAGTCAAACGAGTAACTTTTTTCCTTCGTGGTTTCCCAGTTTCCTGTCCATCTTGCTTAAGATATTTTTTCCCACCCCTGTATCCTAAGGGATGTGTTCCAAGTTGCCTTTCAACATTTTAATTGTTTTATTCTTGGCAGCTGACCAGCTGATCTAGTTGGAATTTATTTTTCTGTATGCTATGAGGTAGAACACAGAACTGTGCATATTCAAGAACTTCTAGACAGGACCCTCCTGTTGCTGGGCCTGTTTTCCATCTTCAAAATGAAACCCCTCACGGTGGGTTCTAGGTTCTTTCCATTGCTAATGTTACTTAGCAGAGGTCTCCAGACTCCAGTCCAAGGATCCCTGTCCATCTACAAGTTCACCAGCCCCCGCCAGATGGAGCACTGAGGTTGGGGGTGTCTGCTGCCTCCCCTCCTACAAGTGGGGAACTTGGGAACGGGAACCTCACACTGAGGCGGCACACTCAGCGGAGGCCCTCGGAGTGAGAAGGGCTGGGGGTGGGGGTGGGGTCCTCTGAACCCAGCCTTGGGCAGGGGATGGATCTTGGATATAATAGTCCCCAATGCTGACCACAGCTGTTGTCCCCAGGATAACTCTGGGTCAGCGTAATGCACTCAGATCACAGCTCAGCAAAACTCAGAACAGACTTCAGTCTCTTTAAACTGAGAACCACAGGAGCCCCCCTGTCACCAGCGGTGAGGAGGGCCAGCCTGGATTCCAAAGGAACAAAGGGTCTCTTTTGTGCCTCACACCTTGGGTTCCTTCCTCGGAAGGGCTTCCTTCCTAGGCCTTCATCCTCCACCCCACTCCTTCAGTGGCCTTGGGTTTGCAGGGTCAGCTTCTCCTCCCTCCCTTCCAGTAAAACCTCACCCTCTCCCCAGTATTAAGTTCAAAAAGTACAAAAAAGTAGTACCACCCCCCCCACCCCCAGCCACAGCGCAGTTCCCTCCCCCAGGGTTAACCTGTGTACCTGCTCCTGGATGCTTCATTACTCTATGCCTTTATAACATGCAAATCAAATATTTTCTTTTCCCCTACAAAAGCAATAGCTTTCTGAACATATTGTTCTGCCCTTTCCCATTCTGAGCTAAAACTAAATCTGGGTGACCGTTTCCAACCTGTACACACACTTCCTGGTTTCCTCCTGCAGTCGCACTGTCATAATGGTGTTTGAATCATAGTATGGGCACCCATAATTCGAACGCCCCATCTCCTCATGATCATGAGTGCACGCTGTGCTGACATGCAATCTCACACTTCTGTGAATGTCTTCGCAGGGAAAATGCACAGCAGTGGAATGACTGAGGCAAAGCTCCTGCATACCCAGTTTCCCCAGGCTCACTAAATACAGGGACATCTGTTGGCTCAGTCTCCCCCTTCAGGTTCAATCAAACTTTTTGATCTTTGCAGATTTGGTAGATGAAAGGAAAAAAAGATGTCTGGGTGCTTTTAAATTTGCATTTCAAATTGTAAGGAGGGAGGTTGGAGTCTGTGCCTCCTCATTAGCATTTCCTTTCCAGGAATATTCCTGGATCGTTTTGTATTGGAGGGGGGGTATTTTCTCATTGATTTGTAGGTGCTCTTTATTATTAATCTTAAGATTAACCCTTTGTAACAGTAGGGCAAGCATGTCCTCCCCAGCTTACAGCTAGTTTTTTTACTTTGTTTAGGCAGGTTTGCTTTGCAGAAAGCTTTGGTTTTCACCTAGTTGAATTTCTCAGTCTTGCCTCTTTAAAGTTTGGGGCCATATTTAGAAATGCCTCCGCCTCCCCAAGACTCTAAAAAGTTGTCCTAAGTTTTCTTCTAGTCCCTGATCGGTCCCTTTTTACGCTTAAATCCTTAATGTTTGGGACCTATCCCGGTGTAAAGGGTGAGGAGTTAGCCCCACTCACCTATGTGAAATTCCCACAAATACAAGGTGCCTTTTCATCTTTCCATAAAAGAGTGTTTTTTACACACTCGAAACAACTTTGAGGAGTGACAACGGGGGAGTCCAGCTCGGTAAGGTGCGCAGCCCGGACCCGCGCTGGCGAGGCAGAAATGAGTGCCTGACTCGCCCCACGGTGGGGGCGTCTCCGCCAGCGCCCCACCGCGGCCTGGCCCACGATTCAGTGAACCCAAAGACTACACTCGCATCCCGTGGACCCCCCAGCGCCTCTAGGAAGCACCTGGGGCACTCTGCGCGTCCCCTGCCGCCTAGCATCTCCTTCGCGTCCTAATTCACGCCCCGCATTCTGGCCTCGGTCCCATGTACCCCGCGCGTACCGCGTGACCCTCCATCCATTCCGGCCCTGCATCCATCCCCCTTCCTGCGCGCGCACTCCCCATCAGTCCGACCTCCCTCAGACCCAGTTTCCTCGTTCACCCCCGTCCGTCCTCACGTCGTCCCCGGCACCGCATCCACCCCCCGGCGCGCGTCGCCCCGATCCCATAAAGCCCGACCCCGCATTGGCCACCAGCGCCGCGTCGGCCCCTCCCCCGCCCCCCTCTCAGTCAACTCCTGCCCGCGTCCTGCTTGTGATTCCCGTCCCACCGCGCACGACGCTCTGAGGTCCCCGTGCCACGAGCGCCTTTCCCCAGCCGGCTCCCGGCGGGGCGGGGCCTCGCAGGCGGAAGTGCCCGGGGCGCCGACTGCTGGGACCGGCCCGGACGATGGGAACCGGGGGCAGCAGCGGCGGCGGCGGCAGGAGCCGCAGTGGCGGCGGCGGCTGCCCTGGTGGCGGCGGGGGCAGACGGCCGGAGACGCGATCCGGGTAGCGCCGGGCCAAGCACGAAGCCATGGGCCGGGCTGGGACCCGGACCGGGGTCGTGGCGGTGGCAGTGGCGGGGCCGCTGCTACTGCTGCTGCTGCTGCTGCTCGCTCGGCCCCCTCCTGCCGCGGCCGGCGACAGCAGGAAGAGCGGTGAGCGAGCGCGTACAGACAGGCGCCATCCTGGGGGCGCCAGCTGGACTGGGGTGGGGGGAGCGGCCGGGGGCGGGGCCGGAATTGTGACTCACCTGGGGGCACCTGTGCGCTCACCTGGCGAGGGCGCGGGGCAGCTCCCCACCCTGGGTTGGAGACGCCGGTCAATTCCTTGCGGGGCGCTTCATGTACGAGCGGTCGGGTGGAAAGGACGCCCTGTGCCCCTAGGGTCGGGTTCCGCCAGACTGGCCCTAGGGGCACGCCCTCCCATCTCATATCCTGCTTCCTACGCGTACGGGTCATGGAGGTGGAGGGGTCCAGCTGGGACTCCAGCTGTGAGGCCCATTGAAAACAAAGGTTGGGCAGTGGGATTCTGGAGCCCCCATCTGGTCTGGGAGAGGAGCCGAATTAGGAGAAAGTTTCACAGATCCTGGAGTAGGGGCCCTGGTTGGTGTCACCTCCACCTCTTCCGCAGTAACCACTAACCCCAGCGCAGTCACTTTCAACAGCTGGCCTTGCTTCTTGGAGGGACTTCCAGATGGCCATGAGGAGCCTGGTACGCCAGGGTAGTTCTGAGGAAATTGGTACTTGAGTGGTTGTTGGGGAACTTGCTGCCCTCCCTTTGCATTTCTGCTCTCTGAGAATCTCCACCCAAGAAGGTGTCTAGACCAGGAGGTGCTGCCCATCCTGGTTCTATCTGGGGCTGGGACACTTGGGGGTGTTGAGTAAGTTCCCCTGACAACTGTGGCCTAGGACTCCCCCTGGGGGGCCATGTGGCCAGGCTTGCAGGGCTGTGAGGGTCCAGGTAACACTGCCTCCCCTCCCCCAGTTAGGCAGCTCATCTAGCATAGCCTGGGGTTTGGGCCCCTTTATTCCCTGCTTCCAGCCCCTCCCCCTTCTCTGAAATCTTGCTCCTCCAAGCTCCTGTTTCTTTGAGGGCTGTACTTCTGGTTTCTGATCTGGAAATGAGTCAATTTCCCTGAAATGGCTCCTGATTCAGTTGCTCCATTAGATACCGCCACCCTTATTTTCTTCTTTTTACCCATCCTGGAAGTTGGTGCTGAGTTCAGGGTCACGGGTCCGGTGTTTATGGAGATGGAAAACTTAGGGCAGCCCCTCACCTCCCAGGCCTGCTGAGGGGCAGGCCTCAGGTTGGCTGTGGCTTCTGGGATCTGTAGGTGGGCAGGGTCTCTGCATCGTGTGCCTGTCCTGGTTTGGAGGTTGTGAGACAGAGTGTCCTCATTCAAGTTTCCAGGAGAGGCTCAGGGAATTTATTTGTCCTCCCCCCAACCCTGTGTCTTTGGAGGGGGCTGTGGAGCAGGATGGGGGTACACGTGGCCCTTACTCCCTGATATCAGAAATGTGACTTCTATATCTAACTCAGACTAATGTGCTAATGGCCTGGTATGTTCACCAAGGTAACAGTGTGGGCATCTTGGGCAAGGGGGTAGGGCTGCAGAGCGAGGGGGGTGCTGGAAGGGCTGTGTACTCCTGGGAATGGGGTACCACCAGGTCTTAAAGTGACCTTGAGCAGGTCTCTGATCTCTTGTGTACCTGATGAAACTTAACAGCGGCCAGCTGGGTTCCAGGTGTCCACAGACTAATGCTCCAGGGCTGGCAGGAGCCAGAAGGCCTTGTCCGTCTCAGGTCAGGGGGCTGTACACTGCAGCGTGACTTCCCCTGCAGGGCCCCATCTGTTTCTGGGCTGACTGTTTCTCTAAGGCCTCATGGTCCTGAGGTGGGGGACTGTCCTGCCTCAGCTCCCAGCACTCACGTTATCCTGGGGGCTGCAGCAGTCTCAGTAGAAATGTTTGTTAGTTCAGCTGCTCCTAGCCTCCTAGCACTCAGGCCACATCCTGGTGGGTGGCCAGCAGACACCTGGAAAGCCTGAAGCTCCTGCATGGAGCTGACTCCTGCCTAGCGCCCCATGCTGGGCTCCTCTGGAGCTCAGACTGGCTTTGCTGGTGGGTTATCTTCTCAAGGTTCCTCCATGGCAGGGTCCGGAGGCTGGCAGGAGAGCCAGCTGCTTACCTGGCTCCCTTACCTGCTCACCTGGCTCACACTGACGGGGCCCAGGGCCTGCGCATGAGCTGGCCACTTTCCCAGCAGGCAGAGGGAGGTACCCAGCTAGGAGCAAACTAAGGTCGCACCCTGCTGTGTCCAGAGTATTTCTTCTGAAAGCACTGTAACCTCCATTAACTTTGAAGGGCGGGGCATCCAAAGGAAGTTGCTATTCACCTGGCCAAATCACCAGGAAGCTGGGATGGTGAGAGGGGAAGGGACACCCAAGGTCACAGGGGGCATGAGGCCTGAGCTGGTGCTGGGGCCAGGCTCCCTGCCATCCAGCCCAGGCACATGTGGCTAGACCCCAGGTATAGTCAGCCACCTATGGGAGTGCAGAGTACCCAGGATAGGCCTGTTCTGTGGGAGACCCAAGAGGGAGGGTTCCAGGTGGACACCCTCAACCACGCATGGAGTAGGCGATTATACTGTGGGACCCGGACACATTCTCATGGAGGTTGTGCCCCAGTCATTGGACACCCCAGGAGGGGCCTGAGAGCCACTGCAGGGATTGGGGCATGGGGGAGCCCCAGGTTTGGCCACAGGTAGTCTGTCTGTCATGGGCCCTGCTTCATCCCTGTGCCACTCTACATAGGTACATGCCCATGGGAGCATGGGGGCCCGCTGTTCCCTGGTCACCCTGGTTGGTCCCCTTCCCCCCACTACCAGGGTCTCTGCTTGCCACCTCTCTGGGTAACGGGGGACCCAGGCTCCAGTCCAGCTGTACCCCAAGTCATGGGCCCGGGCAGGTAGCCAGCCTCCAGGCCTGACCCCCCTCACCTGTCAAGTGGGACCAGTTGCCAGAGACAACTGCCAGGGGCTGGAGGGGGACAGTGACCTTTGCCAAGGTCAAAGTTGGAGTGCCAGCCGAGGGACTCCAGACCCGCCCACCCTGGCTTCCCCCTTCTTTCTCTCTGGGACCATGCTGGGGCAGAAGGGCCTCTGAATTTCTCTTTTTTCACCCCATGTGGAAATGGGTGCCTCAGGGCACCCCTGGCCTGGCTGACAGCACCTTCTCCCCACAGACATCAGGCTGGTATCTGAGCAGTTCTCGCAGTCCCCACAGAAGCTGTCTTTCTACAGCTGGTATGGCAGCGCCAGGCTCTTCCACTTCCGAGTACCCCCGGACACCGTGCTGCTGCGCTGGCTGCTGCAAGTGTCCCGGGGTGGTGGCCCCACATGCACCAATGTGGAGATCACTGTGTAGGTGCCCACCCACCTGCCTGCCTACCTGCCTGCCTGCCTGCCCGAGTCAGGCCCAAGGCTCACATTTGATGCCTGCCCCATGTTATCCCTGCCCCCAGGTACTTCCGCTACGGCGCCCCTCCGGTCATCAACCCACTGAGCACCAGCTTCCCTGCCAACACCTCCGTGCAGCCCTCCTTCCTCATTAAGATGTTACAGAGCAACACTTCTGTCAATGTCTCCCACCCAGCACCCGGGGACTGGTTTGTGGCTGCCCACCTGCCTCCCTCCTCCCAGAAGATTGAGGTGAAGGTAAGGGGTCTGCCCTCGAGGGATGGGGGTGTAGGACACCTCAGTGCAGGAATGGCTGGTCTCTGTTTTTCTCAGGGCAGACCTTGTCTAGGTGCTGCAACCCTGCCTCCCCCGCTCCCCACCCCAGGCCTGGGCTCTCTGGTCCTGCTCCCCCGCCACCTCCATCCCCCATGCCTCAGCTCTCTGGTCCTGCCCCACCGCATGCCTGCGGATTTCCTCCCCTACCTCTCATTATCTTCCTAGGGCTTTGTTCCCACCTGTGCCTACATCTTCCAGCCTGACATGGTGGTCGTGCGGGTGGTCGAGGTCTCCATCCTGGAGCCCGACGTGCCCCTTCCGCAGACCCTCCTCTCCCACCCCAGCTACCTCAAGTGAGTAGGGGCTTTGGGGGAGGCCCAGCCTCTAGGTTTGGTGGAGTGGGTGGTACCACCATCCTCACAGTGCGGGTGAGAAAGGTGGGGGCCTGGGTCTTGGTGTCATGCTGGGAAGTGGGGCCACCACCCTGAGTATGAGCAGTGAGGGGGAGTCATTGGAAGCCCCAGTGAGATCGTCTCCTTTGGCTTCAGAATCTTCATCCCCGAGTACACACAGGAGCTGCAACTGGAGCTGCAGGGCTGTGCATCCAACGGGAGCCTGGGCTGCCCCATGCGTCTCACCGTGGGGTCAGCCACCCTGCCCAGTAACTTTCAGAAGGTGCTCACCTGCACTGGCCCCACTCGGGCCTGCCGCCTGCTGCTGCCCTCACCACCCTGGGACCGATGGCTGCAAGTGACTGCCAAGAGCCTGGCAGGGCCCTATGTGTCAGTGACTTTCAGCACTGTAGCTGCTCTCACAGGTGGGCTGCCTGGGGCGGGCCGGGTAGGGGTGGCTCTGCCCTGTGCCTTCGACCCACAGGCCTTCCTCTAGCTGAGCCCCTTGTCATCTTGACAGCCTGCAGGCCATGGATTGTGAACTTCCCGCATCTTCTGCAGAGCAGCTCCAACCAGAGTTGCAATGCGTCCTCCATGGGCTTTTTGCCCCCGAGCCCTGGCTACCAGGACTTAGGCAGGAGCAGCAGGGTGGCTGACAGCCCCTTCTGCCTCATGAGCTACCAGGTCATGCGAGAAGACGTGGATGTGGTGTCTGTGCACTTTAGGCCCCTGGACAGGGTCTCGGTGCGGGTACAGTCAGACTTGCCTTCGGTGATGCGACTGCACCTCAACACGGGCATGGACAGTGGGGGCTCCCTCACCATCTCTCTTTGGGCCAACAAGGTACCTTTGTGAGCGCCTCGTGGCCTGGCTTAGCTCAGGACTCAGATCCACCTAGGCTGAGCGATGCTGCTCGGGCCTTCCTTCACTGACTTTATCATGGACGCTGGGTTGGGGTGGCTTTTCAGGCAATGCAGTGACCCCAACAGGCATTGGGCCAGAACAGAGTCATCATTTGCAGAAAGGGAGATCTGATATAGGCAGCGGGTCCCTGTCATCAGGCCCAGGGTTGTGCCTGAAGAAATGGGACTGCGGGTGGGATCATAGGCCGAGTGTCCCTGGGCCTGGAGGGGGAGGGCCGCAGGTAGTCCCTGGGCCAGTGGGAGCCACAGAGAATAGTGCCCAGCACCAGGCTGGGAACTTAGGGCTGACACTGCATGGCCGCTCCTTCCAGAGTGTGATTTCCAACAACACCTTGGTAATGGTCTGCGTGAATGCTGCCTCACCCTTCCTCAGCTTCAACTCATCACTCAACTGCACCACAGGTACGGGCAGGTACAGCCTGATGAAGCAACCCTGAGCAGCCCCTCTGGCCACCTCTCACCAGGTCTTCCTGCTCCCCTGCAGCTTTCTTCCAGGGCTACTCCCTGTCTTTGAGCACCTCATCTCGCAAGGCCAACCTCATCATCCCTTACCCAGAGTCAGACAACTGGTACCTCTCCCTGCAGCTTGCGTGCCCTCAGAGTCCTGAGTAAGTAAACTTGGAGGCTGGGGTGGGGGAAACCCAGAGCTGCCGGCTGGGGAGGGTGGCTGAATCATTACATTCAGGACCATGGACGGGGTTGCCTGCATCCGAGTATGGGAATGACTCAGCTTCCTACAAGCCACGCAGGGTCAGTTGCCTTCTGGGAGTTACAAAGGAGTCCCCTTTTCCACCTGGCCACCCCTCCCCAGGCAGCCCTGGGATCCAGGGCACAAGGAAGGGAACGAGTCTAGGACACAGCCCTAGACAGACTGGGATGCAGGGTGGGGTGAAGGAGAGGGGGCATCTTTGCTTCTGCAGAGCTCATGGTTGCTGTCCTACAGGGCTCAGAGCCTGGGGGCCTCAACTCTGGGTTCATATGTCCAAGAGCCTGATGGGAGCGTTGGCAGGGACTGGCCAGCAGACCTCGGCAGCCAGCCTTCTGTGGCCCCTTCCTCTCAGGGAATGTGAGAAGGCCTCGGTCCTTGTGGAGACCACCTTGTACTTGGTGCCCTGCTTGAATGACTGTGGACCCTATGGCCAGTGCCTTCTGCTGCGCAGACACGGCTACCTGTATGCGGCCTGCAGCTGCAAGGCAGGTGAGGGCCAGGCCTGATGCCTCCGGACACTCCTGCACTTTGCTTCCCAGCCCTGTGCCTTCCTATGGGAGCCCATCCCAGCTCTGCCAAGGCTGGAGAGCACCCCCACAGAGCAAGGGCAAATGCCTCGTCCCCACTCCTGCCACACACCCAGAATTCCCCACGCAAGCACAAAGAGGCACCCCCCAGAGACTGTACTGCCTCCTGACCTTGGCCTCCCCTGTGCACACTTACCCACGTGTCCCATACCTGTCCAACACCTGCTCATATCTGCGCGACCTCTGCACATACCTGCTCTACATCCACACACGTGTCCCATATCTGTCTCATACCTGCCAACATCTGTCCCATGCCTGCCCATACCTGTCCCACACCTGCCCCACACATGCCCCACACTTGTCCGCACCTGTCCCAACCTGCTTCTGGGTAAGAAAGGGGCTTCTCTTCAGGGTCCTGTGTGAGGGATGGGCCCTGAGGTTCAAAAGTGTCCCCCGAAGCCTGCTCTCGGTTGCCTCGCTTCAGCCCCTTCGGTGGTGCGTTGGTCCACAGGCTGGCGTGGGTGGAGCTGCACGGACAATAGCACTGCCCAGACCATAGCCCAGCAGAGGATGGCCACGCTCCTGCTCACACTCAGCAACCTCATGTTCTTGGCTCCCATCGCCCTGTCTGTGTACCGCTGCCTCCTGGTGGAGGCCTCCGTCTACGCCTACACCATGTTCTTCTCCACGGTAAGCCATGTTTTTCTCCATGTTCTTCTCCCCGGTGGGGGTGGTGGGGAGGTCTGGGCCTCTGCTCACCATCCCGCCCCGCAGTTCTATCATGCCTGTGACCAGCCGGGGGAGGCGGTGCTGTGTATCCTCAACTACGACACTCTGCAGTACTGCGACTTCCTGGGCTCTGGAGTGGCCATCTGGGTCACCATCCTCTGCATGGCACGGCTGAAGGCAGCACTGAAATATGTAAGTGATCTCCCGACACCTGGGTCTGGACTCTGATGGAGCAGAGGCCCTTGCATACGGCATGTCATGGGAGAGACCAGAAAGGGTTTGGCTATTGTGCTTAGAAACCTCCTGTCTCTCGTAATGACCAGTTATCCTCTGGAAGAGGACTATGCAGGCTGCTTGGAGGATTCCAGGGAAGGGATATGGAGGGAAGGGTTAGGTGAGACCCCCTACCCTATCTATTTCCCAGGGCTCTGTTCAAAGAGGAGGTCTGGAGCCCCAACTCTAGGCCAGACTTCCCCGAGGAGCCCTGAGCTGTGTTCCTGGAGTCCCTGGTGATGAGGACACTTTGGGGACTTTACTGCTGCAGCGTGGCCTGGCCTATGGAGACATGTGTCTCAGTGCCCTGCCTGGTTAAGTTGTGCGTCAGAAATTTACCTGGAGACAGTTTAGTAACTGGAGGAGGGGTGCCTCTCTCCCTGCCAGCAGAGCAGGACAAAGTGTGCCAGCAGCTCCAAGGGGGCAGACAGAGGTGCTAGGGAGCGGTGGGGGACAGTAGGATGACCAGCATGCTCAGGCCACTTGCTTTTCCTGGACCTTGTGCTGTCACAGACAATCCTGGCCTGGGGCCCCTGTGACGCTGTGGTCATCTCTGTGTCTTACTCAGGTCCTGCTTCTCCTGGGCACGCTGGTGTTTGCCATGTCCTTGCAGCTGGATCGCAGGGGCGCCTGGAACATGATGGGGCCTTGCCTCTTTGCCTTTGTAGTCATGGTCTCCATGTGGGTAAGTGAGTATGGGCTCCCCATAGACCCCCGCTCTGGGAGAGAGACCCTGGCCCCTCATTTTGACCATGTTCCTGTGCCTGGGTCTGAGTCCTCCATATTTGTTGAGGGCTGCCAGTGACACCCATAAGGCCCAGTGTGGCTTCATGCTGTGGCCTGGGCCTGAGCACCCTTCAGGTCTCTGTACCCTTGAGCTCCTTCCAAGTAGTCCACACCCATGATCCTGCTGCCCAGACCTGGGTGGGCCCCTGGGAACTGCAACTTTAGCCCCGGTGCCAGTGTTCATGTGACGGTTCTCTCCAGGTGTACCGCTGTGGGCACCGGCGCCATTGCTACCCCACCTCCTGGCAGCGCTGGGTCTTCTACCTCCTGCCTGGCATCGCCATGGCCACTGTGGCCATTGCCATCTACACCTCCATGATGACCAGCGACAACTATTACTATACCCATAGCATCTGGCACATGCTGCTGGCAGGGAGTGCGGCATTCCTGCTGCCACCACGTGACAAGCACGCTGAGCCCTGGGCCTGCTCACAGAAGCTCACTTGCCATTATCAGATCTGTAAGAACCACCGGGAGGAGCTGTACACGGTGACGTAATGTGGCCAGCTTGGGGACACCTACAGCTTTGATGACGGCCTCTCTAGCCAGGGGCAGGACCAAGGGAGAGGGACCCTTGTCCAGATGGATTTCCAACTGAATAAAATTGCCCTGCACACCCTTTTGCTTCCTCCTCCCGAGGAGAGGACCACACCCCCCAATTCCCTGCGCCCGCCAGCTGCCAGCTGCCAGCTGCCAGCTGGTGTCTACAGAGGCCCCTGGGGCTGAGGCCTGGCTGCCTGGAGACCACAGGTACTATTTGGGGGCAGGCTCTGTGTTCTGCTGGCCTGGGAACCATTAGAGATGTGGAGAAAGATTCCCTGATCACCCTGTTACCCTGTGAGTCTGTGATGTGAGACCCAGGGAATCAGAGGAGGCCTGAGCCCACCTCCCATAGGGCCCCCACAGCCACTGAGGCTGGGAGCTGTGCCCTCCCTGCTTCCTAGCTCCCTTATACTGTGTGCCCCTGAATGTCAGCCTACCTAGGACATGGGGATGCCCTCTGCTGATACAGTTGTCATGGGGAGAGGTGACCGTGGTCACCAGAGAGCTGATAGGCACTGGGGAACATAGGGTCCAGCTGCCATGCATGGCATGGGGGAGGCTGGCTTCTGGCTGTCATGCCTTGTTTCTCCCCTCCCTTTGGCTCTCAGCTTTGGAGCTGCAGGCCCCTGAGAAGAGCTTCCTGGGGGGGTGGGCTGCTACTGCCAAGCTGCTCTGTGGGTGCTTCTCTGTGGTTGCCAGCAACACAGGGCACACCACGCCCCAACTCTGTCCCCAGCCACTCCCTGGGTTTCTGCCCTCTTGTTTGGAGAGCATCCTCTTGATATGCTCCCAGGAGCTGAGTTGCTCCCAGCATGGCTGTACCTTGCATTGGCCCAACCATGTGTTTGGGGAGGGGTCTGCCAGAGACCTGGCCCAGGCTTTCTCTCTCCTCTTTGGAGGAAGCAGGGTAGGGGGTAACTCATTGCCCCAAGGAGCAACGCCCTGCCCCTACCCAAGGCAGAGTGCAGGGGGGCTGCTGTAGAAATGAGGGGTGTGGGACAGGGCCATGGGAGGCTGTAGTCACTGAGGCCCAGGGTCAGGGCCCTGGGGGTTTCCCTTCTGGGTCCTGTCCAGGATGTGGCCTCCCTGTTAGCCTCCCCCACTCCCAGTCACACTGCACTTGGCTACTGTAGCATTCTCTTGGCTTATAAAAAGAAAACATGGTGTTTTGGGGGGTAAAAACTTTAAAGACATATTTTTATGTAGCTCTGATTTAGCTGTGATTGGTGAATTTAATATTCTACAGTTATATTTCATGGCAAGAATTTTTACATTGTTTTCTGTGCTCCTGGGAGAAAAGGAGGTTGCACGCAGCCCTCTCCCCACGCTCTCTTTGGGCTGCTGCTCGCGGAAAACAGGCCGCACTGGCGAACTGGGACCAAGGCATTTTCCACGGTCCCTAAAGGCAGAAAAGGGGGCGGGACGAATGTTAGACGGACGGGCTTTGCAGTCAGTCAGTGGCGAGTAGAAGGCCAGGCGACGTAGCGCGACTTCCGGTTCCGGCGAGGCGCGGAGCTCCGAGAGACGGTTGGGGCTCGGTGGAGATCTGGGTTTTGCAGTTGGGGCCACGCAGGGAGTCTAGATTAGGAGCGGGGCAGCGAGGGGGTTCCAGGCCGCGCGGGGGGTCTGGGGACCAGCCGGACTGCGGCGTGACTGCGGTTCCCTGCCTCTCGCCAGGCTCGCCGCGATGCCCCTGCACAAGTTTCCGGTGGTTCTGTGGAAGCAGCTCCGGCTGCGGGAGGGCATCTGCTCCCGCCTGCCCGAGCATTACCTGCGCTCCCTGGAGGAGCAGCGGACGCCCACTCCTGTGCACTACAGGCCACACGGGGCCAAGTTCAAAATCAGCCCCAAAAACGGGCAGCGGGAGCGCGTGGAGGACGTGCCCATTCCCATTCACTACCCGTCGGAGTCCCAGCGTGGGCTCTGGGGCGGCGAGGGCTGGATCCTGGGCCACAGATACATCAACAACGACAAGGTGAGTGAGCAGGGCAGGCTTCAGGGGAACTTCCCCTAGGAGGGGTGTTGCTGCTGTGAGCGCCCTGCTGGGCTTCGCGGGTACACGGAGAGCACAAGGGACACTGACCAGCCCCAGGGATGATTATAGTTGGGTGGAGACAGGGCCCTCAAAGTATGTTGCTAATGAGTGAACAGGCACCGTTCTGGGGAACCCTCCTTGTAAAACCAATGGGGCATCCTGAGATGGGGTGGTCCATATCAGCAACAGCCATTGCAGAGGCTCCGGGGTGGTGGCCCAGATCAAGTGTAAGGATGGGGAGGGGGCCTGTGTGTTGAGATGAGGTGGAGGAGGGAGGTCTGTGGACATCTGTCAGCTGGACTTGCCATAGTTGGCTTCTGTCACTTCTTGGGACGCTTACAAGGCTGGCACTACCACTTCCTCATCACGCTTAGGAAGGCTGAGACACTCACCTGGGGGCAGGTCTCCTGAACCTGCCCCTGACACTGTGCTGCCTCTGGTGGGATTCCTGGAGGGACTGCCGAGCCCTTTGGGGAGGCCTCCCAGGCTGGTATCTCCCTTCGCCTTTGGCCTCTTGGACCCCGGTGTGGAATGTGATGACCTGTGGAGCAGTGGAGTTACAGTTGTGTCTGGTGTGTCTGGAACATACCCCAATAACCTGGGCAAGGTCTGGGCGTGCCAGGCTAGCTGGGGAGAAGCCGACCTCTGCGTGGGTAACCCGGTCCATGTGCCAAGTCTCAGGAAGGGGACCCTGAGCCTCCCTTGGGTCTGTCAAGAGACGCAGCTGCACCCACGGGGATTCTGTTGCTCCCTCAGCTCTCGAAGAGGGTGAAGAAGGTGTGGAAGCCACAGTTGTTTCAGCGTGAGCTCTACAGTGAGATCCTGGACACGAAGTTCTCCGTGACCGTGACCATGCGCACCCTGGACCTCATCGATGAGGCCTACGGGTTCGACTTCTATATCCTGAAGGCAAGTGGTGTCTGATGGCCATTCAGAGAGGGGAGGGTCGATCAGCACCCACTGACTGTAGCACTCCAGTCTCTGGGGCAGAGGGTCACCAGTGAAATGTGAATGGGACGGTGCCCCTTTCTGGGCAGCCCCTGTGGGTGGTTGCGTTGTCTACCAGGTCCCAGGTGGACACAGCTGCCTCCTTTCCTGCTCTTGGCTGTTACTTCTCTTCTGGCCTGGGGGCTGCCAGCTGCTGTGGAGGATCTGAGTAGGCTGGATGGCAGAGTGGGCGGGGCCCTGCCAGCAGCACCTGGCGTCACACGTAGTGTCCGGCTAGACTCCGAAGGAGGACCTGTGCTCCAAGTTTGGGATGGACCTGAAACGAGGCATGCTGCTGCGACTTGCCCGCCAAGACCCTCAACTGCACCCCGATGATCCCGAGAGGAGGGCAGCCATCTATGACAAGTACAAGGTGAGGGCTTGGGCCTGGACTTCCTGCTCATCGTGGGCCCTCCTGGCTGGCCGCCCCAGCCTCACCACGTGCACTGTGTCTGCCTACCTAGGAGTTTGTCATCAAGGAGGAGGAGGCTGAGTGGGTCGGCCTGACGCTGGATGAGGCTATGGAGAAGCAGAGACTCCTGGAGGAGAAGGTGAGCGTGTGTGAGTGCCAGCTGCCCTACCTTCTTGGGTGGGCACAGCTGCCAAGCACTGGCAGATAGACGGGGGAGGGGGAGGGGGAGGCATGTGCGCTGCCTTGGGAGGAGCCTGGTAGAGGGGCAGCCGAACCAGGTGGACTTGGGGAGTCGCTGCCTCTGTGCAAAGCTGCCACCACAGCCTGGTGGGTTCCACATGGCACATTCCTGACCCTCAAGGTCCTGACCCTCTCCTGCCCCTTCTGGCCCACTTCATAGCTTCAGGGACAGAAAGACCCTCAGTGATGAGCTGGACTCTTGGCACTGATGGTCTACTTGGCCATCTAGCATCCCTCAGGGTCTTGCCGGTACTGAGTCAAGACCTTCTTGTGTCTGTCCCTTAGGAAGGTGTAGAGTCAGTGGCAGCTGTCAGGTCAGGGAGCCTCCACCCATGGCACAGCCAGCCGCCCCTGTTCCCTCTGCTTGGTTTATCTGCAACCTCAGGGCCCAAGGCAGAGACACTGAGGCAGGCGCCTGATTCCTACATCCCCCAAGGGTAGGCAGTCCCTGTCTCATGGATGGGTCACTGCCCTCTGGGCTGGGGATGGGGGCCAGCAGCCTCACTTGACCCTTTGCCCAAACCTGAGGGGCCCGTTCCTCTCATGCCGGATTCCTCTGGGTGTTTTTTTTTTTTTTAAGATTTTATTGGGGAATTGGGGGAGGGGAACAGCGTTGGGGAATGGGGGAAGGGAAACAGACAAGTTGCTGTCCTTTTTTGTTCTTCAGTCTAGTTGTGGAGGACGTTGCTTTACTGGCCCATGTTGGTATCATTGTGCTCTTCCTGGGTGAGGCAGATCGGTTGCCGGCCTCTGGATGGCCGCTCATGGCGGCTCTTGGCAGCTCACACTGGTAGCTTATGGCAACCCACTGCAGCAGGGGCTACAGCCTATGCCATCGCCGGCGACTCACAGCAGCTCAGCTCCAAGTCGAGCTGTTGTTCACCATCTTAGTTGTAGAGGGCAGTGTCACTGGCCCCCATGTGGGATCCGAACCGGGGCCCTGCTGCTCAGAGCTGGCATCCCTCCTCTGGGTGTTTGACCAGCAGCAGCAGAATTTCTGCCCCCCTAAAGTGCCTCACCGTGACTCTGTCTTGCCCACGTAGGACCCCGTTCCTCTGTTCAAGGTCTACTTGGAGGAACTGATTGAGCGGCTTCAGCAACAGGCCCTGTCTGAGCCAGCGGTGGTGCAGAAGACAGCCAGCGGGAAGTGACTGCAGAATGACTGACCCGTGCCTGACAGCCAGGCTCAGCGTCCTGTGTTGTCCCATGGCCTCCCCCACCCCTCTGCCCCTTGGCACCATGGACACAGTCTTGGGCGGTGGTGAGAGCCACTCATGGGCAGTGAGTGAACCATTCTAGTGTGTGCTGGCTGCGCGGCTCCTGGGTGTGATGGGCTTTGTGGAGGTCCTAAGCGATCCCAGGGTCCCCAGAGGCCTGGGGCTATCTTCACTGCCTCTGAGGTCCCCCTCCCCTTGCAGCGGAGGCCCAGCCGAGGCAGTGTTATCACACTGGCGACAGCATGAGTAAAGTCTGAGCTGGGCGGTGTGTGTGCTGCTTTGCTTGGAGGACCAGAGCTTTTCTGTGTATTTCTTAAAATGGCTGAGGGGTGCCGGGTTCCCCTGAGGGGCGATGTGGAAGCGACAACACCTGAGTTGTGTTCCTGGTGGTGGAGCCCGGGGGGAGTGTGCATCTGGCCGATGGGAACAGCTGCAGGAGGGCCCCGGAGATCCCATGATTCATGAGGTCATTGAGGGCCAGGGCCTGCTTTGGATTCAGGCCCTGGGGGGCGTGCCCCAAACTCCCATCATAGCTGGGCACAGTGTTACTCTCCTCCAGGAGTGTCCTTATGCTTCCCACCCGTGAGTGATTTCTCATGTAATGTCCCTCCTTTGTGAACAGTTTTTGATTTATAAAACATTTTACCAAAAGCTGACAATGCCCAGCCTGCCACTGCCTCAGCTCTGGTGGTCAGCACGGCCCAGCTCAGTGATCTGAGCCTAGCTCCCGCCTCCAGCCAGATGGGTGGTATTCTGATGGGCTAGCCCTCCCCATGTTCATGTCTATGTCACAGTTGCCATGTTCAGCCCTGAACTGAATCAGACGGATCCCTTTACAGCTCTCAGCCTGTCACCTGGGTCCCCCCTGTGGTGTGCACCCCAGACGTCCCCAGTTCATTAACCTTCACTCTCAGTTACCCCTCTCACCTCCTTTCCACCCCAACAAAGGCCACAGATAGATAGGTGCTCCTGCCAGGACCTGTAGAGTTCATTTGTCAGATTCCTGGAGTTCCCTAGGGACCTGGGGCTGCAGGCCATGTGGCCAGAGCAGAGTGGAAGGTGAACTTGGGCCTTGGTCTCCCTGTCAGCACCTATGGGCCAGGGGAGATTGTCTGACTCCCAGGCTGCACTGACTCAGGGCTCTGGCTCTGCTCCCCCTAGGGCCTGAGGGTTACCATAAGGGCGGCCCCAGCTGGCCCCTGGTGCTGCAGGCCTGTGGGAGGAGCTTGGCATGGCTTCCGCAGGTCACTCACTTCCCGGTAACCTGAGGTTGGACTGAGGTGCTAGTCTGAGTGTGGCCTTGGCCCTGAATCTCAGAAACATGAGCCTTTTTCTGGAGGAAGGCAGTATCAGCTTGTTGACTCAAATTCTCAAAACTATCCTTGACTCAGCAAAGGTTAAGGAGCCTTCAGTGAATGACACTCATCCCCCCAAACCCCCCCACACACCCCCAAATAAAAAAATAACCTAGGTCTGGGACAGGCTCCTGGCAGGCTGGGTCTTTCTGGAGGTAGGGGTGGGGAGGGGGATACAGACTGTACAATTTACACATCACACGTGGAACCAGGAGCTGAGCTGTGGGAGCCCATCTGGCCACATGTCCCCGTCCTGTATGTGTTCCCCGCCTCCAGGCCCTGGTCAGGCTGTCTGAGCTGCCTTCCTCATTTCTTTCCCCCCATCAACCACACCTCTGCCCGTCTGTGGATGTGTCTGTCTTTTTGAGAGCCTCCAGCACCCCCTCGATGAGGCCCTGCATTCCCTCAGGCCCCTGAATTGGGGGGTCATTTGTACTTGACCAAGGTCAAACCTGCAGAAGTCTGACCTGCCCTGCACTGCCCCACACCCCTATCCCTGCACCAACTGGGGAGGGGTGAGGGTTGGACCCTCTCCAGTCCTCTAGGAGCCCTCAGGCAAGCCCCCTGGTCCCTGTGTGTCCCAGGCAGTGGCTGAGCCTATGTATTTACGTGACAGCAGAGGCCAAAGGTTCAATGTCAAGGGCCATGCCTGGGCCATGGATGCAGGGTGGACCATCACTGTGTATGTGCACTGGGTGGGTCCCTTGGAGCTGGAGCAGTGGAGGCCTCTGATAACAGTGTGGAGCCCTGTTACCGTATTTGCCGGCGTATAAGACGACTCGGCGTATAAGACGACCCCCTAACATTTCCACTCAAAATACAGAGTTTGTTATATGGTCGGCTGTGTGCGATTTTGCGAGTGTGGTAAAATCGCATAACAGCAAAATCGCATAACAGCCGAGCATACACCCAGCAGCGCTGCTGATGCCTGAACGGTATGTGGAATGAAGTGGGCGGGCATCGGGAGGCCACTATGGCACGGGGCAAGCACTATGGGCAGTCTATCTGAAGTGTACCTGGCATATAAGACGACCCCCCACTTGGAGGCATATTTTTCAGGGCCAAAAAATCGTCTTATACACCGGCAAATACGGTATGTCCATTCTCATTCTGGTGTCCCCAAGTCCCAGAAAGGGCAGGGCCCTGTGCCTAACTCTTCACCCTGAGGCTGTCACCTGAGTCCTGCTCGGGTGTGCACTGGCTGCAGAGTGGCAGGTGTGAAGAAAGCAGGTGAGACCTGGGCATCCTCGCCCCCACCCAGGGCCCCTTCAGGGTGCTGGGAGCACAGAGGAGCTGCCGTGAGGCCCACCCATGTGCACTGTCTGCCCTTCCCTGATATTCTCCATCTCCACCTTCACCACCCATTGCCTCCCCTTGAATTTTCTGCTAACTCTGGGCTCCCTTGAACCCTTCTCCCTCCCATCCCCACCAGCAGCCCCCAAGCTGGAGCCCTGGGCCAGATGAACCCACTTAGCGGCCTCAGCCCAGCGGCATGTCACTCTGCCACGGCACACCAGAACCCTCCCCAGCTCATCCTCACCCCCAGAATGGAGCTCCAGGCCCTGGACCCTTTACCACCCTCAGCTAACCTAGGCCTGTGGCAACCCACACCTTACCCCTGGACAAGACAGGGTGGCAACCCACATGGCAGAGGAGGTTGTTGCAGCTGGGGATTCAATCCTGTGATTGGATGACTTGGGGTGGGGCCAGTGTGAAGTAGGAGAGCAAGTTCAGGGGGTGACCCGAGCAGCCTCTGTGCCCTGTGGCTCTGGGTCCAGCCTGCCCTGCCCTGAGCCTATTCCCTTTCATGTGCAACCCCTGTTGACCTGTGTTCCAGGCTCCCCCTGGGTCCAGGATCCCTCTGGCTTTGGCAGTGGCTGCCTCAGCAGCATCTGGGCCGCCAGGGGCCCGCCCCACTCCTGGCCTCTTCCCAGGGTCTCGAGGCTCCCAGCTGTTCCTTATGCAACCTTCTGTTCAGCAGATGTGGGCTGGGCATGGGCCATGGTATGTAGCCTCCTGGGACTCTCAGGTGGCTGTCATAGGGGCCCTAACCAGGTGGTACTCATCCCAGGAGCACTGGGACAGGCCAGGGGTTGACATAGAGATGGGATGGGAATGGCCTCACCAAGGGACTGATGCTGACCGACCCTGGGGATACAGGCCAAGGGTGTGTGGCCAATTTCCATAGGGTCGGAGACAATCTGCTTAGAGGCCAAAGTCCCAGGGTCCTGTGGGTGGAGATACAAGGTTTGTGGGCAGCAGATTCATGTTGGGGCTTCTGAAGGCTCTCAAGAGGGGACTGTGTGAGCCTGTTTGTGTTTTCAACAGACTAACGAGAATGTGGAGAAGGGGTTGGCAGGCAGAGATAGAGATGGCAGGCCCTTTGGGGTCTGAGGTGGATTGATAACTTGGCTCTGCCCCCCTGGGGGTAAGAGTTTCCCCTGCGCTTCCTCTCACTATCCTCATCCATTGTTTTCTCATGAGACTGGGCCTGGCCTTCAGCCCCTGGGGCAAGCCTAACCTGAAGTCCTCTCAGCAGGGGCTGCTAAGACACTGTTCCTGCCTCTACCACAGGGTCAGGTGGGGTAAGGAGCAGCCTGGGGACATGTCCCAAGAGAGGGACAGGGACCCTTCACACTGGACATGCATGAAACACACACACACGAAAACACCTAACAGCTGGTGCAGCAGCAGCCACCATCCAGTCATGCCTGACCCGACCCTCTGAGGGTACCCTGGCGTGGGCCCACCAGCGGCACCGCCTTCTCTCTCGCTGTCAGGAGTGGCTTAGGGGTGGCGGTGTCTAAAGGGGCTGGTTGCCATGGCTACCATAGGGTTCTGAGGCCGTCATCTGGTCCCTGCCTCAGCCAATCGGCGGTGGGAGCCCGAGCTGCAGCCTAGAGTCACGCTTCTTCCTCCCAGCCACACAGTGGCCAAGAGCAGGGACCCGCTTCCTGGAGTGGTTGAAAGTGCTCAGACAGACGGCCAAGCCCATCATGGCGGACCACGGGATGGTGGGGCGCGAACAGGCACACGGAACCAGGCAGGTGAGGTAAGCCGGGCGGACAGACGGACGGATGGACAGGCGGACAGGTGGATGTGCTCCCTGCTGCCCTTTGTTCTTGTGGCTGAGGCCCTGCCCTCAGCCCACCCTGCCCTCTGCACCCTCTCACACACTCATGTACACACACACTCGCACCCTTACCCTGGGATGCTCTCCCCAAATGTCCCAAGGAAGGGTCATGGGAAGAGAGACAAAGGAAACAGCACGAGGCAGAATGAATCCACTGCACCATGGTCCTGAAAATCGTTCTCGTAGGTCTTTCACGTCAGATTTCACATGGAGGCGGCATCAAAGACCCCCAACTGGCTGGGCCCTCGGCATAATGGCCACCGGCCACCGGCCCCTCTCCCAGTCACCGCTCCCAGGGCTAGGCAACAAGCCATGTCACGTCAGTGCAGTTTCAGGAGCATTTTATCGAGAAGAAAATAAAAGGAAAAAAGAAGCGGAAAAAAAGGGAAAAAAAATGTCCACCTATAATGGGGAGCGGCCAGCCCAAGATGGATCAGAGGCGCCAAATCCCATTACTCGGGACTTCAGAGGACAGGCCCCGAAAAGACAGCTGCAATTGAGAGCTTGTAAATGGAGTGTCCTTTGGAGATCAAAGAGGGACATGCTTGTGTGTGTGTGTGTATGTGTGTGTGTGTGTGTGTGTGTGTGTGTGTACATGCACTGTGGGGTGATGGCAGTGGGGCCGTGCGCCGCGGCGTGGTGAAGCCCAGCGTGTCACCTGCCCGCCATGACCACCCTCCATGTTGCTCGTGTCCTCGCTGCTATATGGACGTGTGGACGCGCCTGGGGGATCCGGCTGGGTACAGACAATGCCTGGTCCGTACCACCCACACCTGGCCTCAGGCAGCGGGCCCTCTAGAAGGCGGTCCTGGCTAGGCCTTGTTCCCCCCACCTGGGCCTCCACCTTCTCCTGGAGTCTGCTCCTGTCCCCAAGTTCAGCCCAAATGGGTCTTGTGGGAGCCAAAAGCATGAGCCCAGACTCAGGCAGAGCCAGGTGTGAGGGCTGGCAGTGGCTGCCTGTAATCATCCCAACCACCATCCCGCTGCCCACAGAGGCCAAGGGCTCCCAGATGGCCTGGTGAGTGTGTCTAGAGGTTCAAAGCCTCTGTCGGCACAATTGTTAGGTTATTAGGTAAACTCTGAGAAGCAAATCTTTTAATCCACTGTGGCTAATCCAGTGCACTTTTGTTTGCCAGGACAGATTCTGCTGCAACAAAGGGGCT